AATTTTACATTTTTGAAATGATTATGTTAGTTCTTCTTTCACAAAACATTGAGAAAAATTATTTTGAAATTTACAGCTTTTTTTATCTGTACCTAATTTTGGTTAGTATGTACTTCAAAATTAAAGAGAAAAGGGGGAAGAGACAGTGGAAGAAAAGGATTTTAGAGTCAACTCAAATTAACTTTTGCTCTTGGGAGAAGATTATGAGGGGACTTAGTAAATTTCAACATGAGTTTCTCTCACAGTCTGGTCTGCATAAGGAAGAGGGCATCCTGGGGACTGGTGACTTACTCAAAATCACAGCAGGCTCTTCAGATAGCTTATCCTGCTGTTCAGATCAGCAAAATCTCAGACAAATGCTACCATTGCAAGACCTTTCCTTCTCTTCCTTCTTGCTGCCTTGGCTTTGAACTTCCTCTTTTTTCCTGCTACAGCCCTGTTGTAGAAGCCTAAAGCAGTAACCCTCAGCAGCAGATTTGCAGAGGAGTGCTGCAATGCTCTTGGAGGAGTGCCTGCTGAAGGCCAGGTGAGCAGAGAGGTGCATCCATCCAAAAATGTTTTGCTAATTTAGAGACGTGTCTGAATTTTCCAGGCTTTATCTCTCAGCCTTTCCAGTCCCTAGAGGTCTGAAAGCAGTTCTGACCGGGCCCTCCTTCCTCTGTACTCAACGTACTCCCACTTTGAAAATCATGCTGAAAGAGAAAAACTTGATTGTAATAAAATGCTTGGGAAAATGATTGCTGTTAAACACCTTGGAGGGAGCAATTCATTCTGCCACCATACAGAATAATATCACCTGCTGTACTGCTCCTGAAATAATTGAGCTATTTTTACTGCATGGTGGGAGAACAGGAAGGTAATATAAAGCATAGCAGACACTGATTAGTAAATTGATGTCTCAGCACCACTGAGCCTAGATCAATATATGAATCCATGGATAGGCTGGTTGCTTCATAAGCACATAAAAAATAGAAAATATAGTGCAAAATGTGTCAGAATTGGTGGGGCGAAAGATAGTCCTTCGGGTACTTTGTGCCAAACTCATATGAAATTAACTAGGGTAGTGCATGGTTTCCACGAGGGGCACTGAAGAATTACTGCTGATACTGAGTCTTTTATTTTTATTTTTTTAACACTCTTTCCTGCTTTGCCATTAGAATAGTTTAGTTGAGAAGAGGGATTTCATTTTACTAATAGACTGGAAGACTTAATGTTCACAACAGCCTCCAATCTGACACAAAGTTGCTCTCAATTTAGCAGGTTATGATTTTGTGTTTACCCTTACTTCAGATAGAGTACTATTAGCATTTTTATCTGGGTTTCTTTGGTTATTCTTTCACATAATACTTTTTAAGAGAGGGAGCAAAGGTTTAACAAGACACAAGGCAGCACAACAAAATGGTTTGACATAGACAATATAAGAGTTTATTCGCCTTCTAGTGACATTTTTGCCTAAAAAATAACAGAATGGATCACTTGAAGATTTCACAGATGAGATGAGAAAAGATGCTGAAGAATAGTACCATTGCTCCTTGATGGATGCAATTTATAAGTGGGACTGCTGACAGCAGGTTGATCAGTGTAGACTTACCTCTTTCTCTCAGAGCAGTCTTCTTACCCTTCCTTCTAGAAAGGCCAGCAGTTTCATTGTGGCCCAGTCAGAAATAACTCTCTTGACTGCAAACCTGATGTGCTTTTGAGTAATGCTATAACTTGTCTGCTGGAAGCCTGAAGTCTTGTGAAGAATGGGAAGGTCTGACTGCTGCAGTTGGTAGCCATGCCTGGGAAACTCTTTGCTAAGCTAAAATTGTGCTGTGCTGTGCTCTGGAAAATGAGAGCAAACAGATAACTACTATCCTGTTTGGTGGCACAATCTTTTTGTGACATGAAAGAGGTAGAGTATATTGCACTACATCTGTGAGCTGCAGAGAATGCAACCTGTGAGAAAATTTCAACCAACTAAAGAAGCTGAATATTACCAACAATAAACAGAAAACTCCAGAGGTTCAAATCAAACTTGAAAGCATAAGCTTTTGTATGAAAACAATTTCCGAGAGCCTCTTTAAAAGGATATTACCTCATATGTTAGGCTTACAGGGGCTTACAAAGTTTTATTTTAGATCTTATCTGTAGCAGAATGACCATGCACCTCTTCCCCAACTACTACATTTTCCACTTGGATACACATTAGAAAGGCAGTACCTTGTGCAAGGTAAAGTTGTATGAATTTGTTTAGCTCATCAATTTGAAGTTCATAAGAAATGAAGCAATTCTCAGTGTGAATAAACTATGAAATACAATTCAAAGAACTTATAAGAATTACAATTGACCTTTTGAAGAATAATTGAGACTGAAGGCCTCGTGCTATAAGAAATGTGAAGACAAACAATGTAAGTTGAAAAGTGAAAATATTTAGTCTGTTAGAATTAGGAAAATGGGTTTTCCCTTCAAAGGCTATTTGACTCTATATGAAAGTGTTATATTGGAAGAAGCAGCTGTCTATTTAAAACAGCCAATGAGATTGGCTGAAATTCTCAGCCCAGTAATCCAGCAGATCTCACTTGTACCAAGGAAACCTGGCAGAAGAGTAGCTATGGTTTTAATTATTGAAAGGTAGAGTTGTGCTTTTTATATTGGTACCAGAGCAATTGAAGAGTTAAGTCCTGAGGCCTGAATTTGTCCTTCTACAGATCAGAAATTAGATCAGTCTGCTGTAATTAAAACAATCCCCCAAAGAATCCAAGTTTTACAAAAAGGAACAAGGATTTTTTTTCCACCATGTCTCCCTCAGAAGGCAAATCTTGCCATTCTTGGCTTCAGAGGATTGAATTTACCTTGCCAACTATGAGACAGCTGCACATAGTCCTCTACAGCAATGGTAGTAACTGTATTATGTGTCTTGCTGACAGGGAATGGCATATGCAGTGATAATTCACTACATGCTAAAAAAATACCTCAAATAGACAAGATGCATCATACCATAGAAGTGCCTAATTCTCTTAATTACATGTAAAGAAAGACAAATTGGACATATGTAGATGTCAGTATTGTAAATACCTAAAGTAAGGGGAGATGTATCACCTTTGGACTGTCTGTTACAGACTCAAATTGATTTTACAATTTCGTCCAGTATTTTAATCATTCATTCAGCTGAATTATTCTCATTTTTACTTTCCAAGGATGCGGATCTATTTCCGAGACTCACTGGTTGTTCTCCCATAACCCTTTCACTCTCCAGAAGTCTGGAGAAGTATTTTTTTGTCTTGTCCATTCCAGCAGTGATAGAGTAAACATTTGCTTTGCTCCTTGTTGCTCAGCTCCTTCTTTTCTTCCTATTGTTTATCATATCCCTTCAGAAGGTGATTCCCTTCTGAACTAAGGGCCCTGTATGCTGACCAGACTCATCCTACAGGGAAGTCTGCTGCCCTTCTGGGGTCAGGGTGAGGGATTTTAGCAGGAGACTCCCTGAGCTAATTAATCCCTCTGATTATTACCCACTGTTGGTAATACAGGTTGACAGTGATGAGATTGATAAAAGAGGTACCAGGGCAATTAAAAAGGACTTTAAGGCTTTGGGTTGATTAGTTGATACGACAGGAGCATAGGTGGTGTTAGCTTCAATTCCTGCAGTAGCAGGGAGGAACAAGGGGAGGAATAGGAAAACCCATTTTATCAATAAGTGGCTAAGGATTGGTGCCACCAGTGGAATTTTTTTAATCATGGGGCAAAATTTATGGTACCAAGCCTACTGGAGTCAGAGGGGCTTCATCTATCAAGCAAGGGCAAAAGAACCCTAGCATATAAGTTTGCAGGGCTGATCAAGAGGGCTTTAAACTAGTTTTGAAGGGGGAAGAGGTTGAAGCCAGGCTCTCCAGAGAAGAGCCTAAGGGTGGAAAGCCAGGGTTAGGAGTGATATGAGCAGCCCAACTGAAGTACATGTACACTAATGCATGCAGTTTGGGAAACACGAAAGAGGAGCTGGAAGCCATCGTGCAGCAGGAAAGCTGTGATGTGAGCACCATCATGGAAACATGGTGGGATGACTCACATGACTGGAATGCTGCAATGGGTGACTACGTGCTCTTCAGAAGAGATAAGCGAGGTAGGAGAGGTGGAAAAGTGTCTCTGTATGTTAGAGAGTCTCTTGACTCTGTAGAACTTGAGGTCGGAGACGGTAAGGTGGAGTTCTTATGGGTCAGAATCAGGAGCGAGGCCAAAAAGGCCAACAGGGATGAAGGGGGTGATGAATTATTATGCAAGCAGCTGGCAGAGGTTTCAAAATCATCAATGCTTGTTCTTGTGGGTGACTTTAACCTGCCGGATGTCTGCTGGGAACTCAACACAGCGGAGAAGAGACAATCTAGGAGATTTCTAGAGTGTATAGAGGATAATTTCCTGTTGCAGCTTGTAAATAAAACTGCCAGGGCTGGGGCCCCATTAGACCTACTGTTTACAAACAGAAGGGGGCTGATGGGAGATGTGGTAGTTGGAGACCATCTGGGGTACAGTGACCACAAAATGATAGAGTTTTCAATACTCCGTAAAGGTAAGGAACAAACAACAAAACCTCTACCCTGGAGTTCCAGAGGGCAGACTTTGGCATATTCAGGAAGCTGTTTTGGAGAGTGTCTTGGAAACAGCCCTTAAAAACAAAGGGATCCAGGAAGGATGGGCATACTTCAAGAAAGGAATCTTGAAGGCGCAGGAGCAGACTGTCACAGTGTGCCAAAAGGTAAGCTGGTGGGTGAGACAACCGGCCTGGCTGAACAGGGAGATTTTGCAGGAAATTAGGGCAAAAAAGAGAATCTATCGCCTTTGGAAAAAAGGGTGGACAACTCATGAAGAGTTTAGGAATTTAGTTAGGTCACGTAGAAAGAAAATTAGAGAGGCAAAAGCATAATTTGAACCGCCATTGGCGGCTCGGCCGTGCCACTCAGCACCGCCGGGGCGTGGGCGGCGGCGGCGGCGCGGGGCCGGGGGGAGCCGCGGGGCCGGGGGGAGCCGCGGGGCCGGGAGCGGGGTAGGCTGCGCCCGTACTTAAGCGCGCTGCCCGAGCCGCTGACGTCTTTCGAATTGGAGACGGGCTGTCCCCCTCCCGCCCCGCGCTCCCGCGGACACGGCCGGGGACGGAGAGGTACAAGTATCTGTCTAGATGTCCAGGCATGCACAAAAGCTTAGAGATCACGGTATAAATCCATGTGTAGCGGAAACAGATGCCACTACAAAATGTCTGAATGAAAACAACTATAAGAAGGATATGTGTACTGCTTATTTTTTGAAGTACAAAAACTGCAGAAAATTCTGGCATGCCATTATGATGCAAAGGAGAAGAAATGGTGTGAAACCAGAGATGCCCTCAGCAGACGAGAGAAAGAAAATCTTGGAATCAGTGGGGAAGCCCTACTGACTAGAAACTTGTTTTTCATTTTTTTTGAGGATGGTGCTATCGTCAAAATTTTGGGTTTTTTGATCATGGGGCAAACTCCATGTTGCCTAGTCTTGTTAAACCAGATGGGCTTCATCTATCTGGGAAGGGCAAAAGAACTGTAGCCCGTAAGTTGGCAGGGTTAGTTAGGAGGGCTTTAAACTAGGTTTGAAGGGGGAAGGGGCGGCAACTGGGCTCTCCAGAAATAAGCCTAAGGGTGTAGAGCCTGAGTTGAGAATAAAATCAATGGCCCAGCTGAAGTGCGTGTACACCAATGCACGCAGTATGGGAAACAAACAAGAGGAGCTGGAAGCCATAGTGCAGCAGGAAAACTGTGACATAGTTGCTGTCACAGAAACGTGGTGGGGTGACTCACATGACTGGAGTGCTGCTATGGGGGGCTACAAGCTCTTCAGAAAGGACAGGCAGGGTAGGAGAGGTGGAGGGGTGGCTTTATATGTTAGAGAGTCTCTTGACTCTGTTGAAGTTGAGGTCAGCAGTGACAAGGTTGAGTGCCTGTGGACCAGAATCAGGGGGAAGGCCAACAAGGCTGACATCCTCGTGGGTGTCTGTTACAGACCGCCCAACCAGGATGATGAAGGAGATGAATTATTCTACAAGCAGCTGGCAGATGTCTCAAAATCGCCAGCCCTTGTGCTCATGGGTGACTTTAACCTGCCGGATATCTGCTGGGAGCTTCATACTGCAGAGAAGAGGCAGTCAAGGAGGTTCCTGGAGTGTATAGAGGATAATTTCCTTCATCAACTGGTAAATGAGCCTACCAGGGGTAAGGACCCACTAGACCTGCTGTTTACAAACAGAGAGGGGCTGGTGGATGATGTAGTGGTTGGAGGCCGCCTGGGAAATAGTGACCACGAAATAATAGAATTTTCAATCCTCAGGGATGTAAGGAGAGCCATCATTAAAACCTCTACTCTGGACTTCCGGAGGGCAGATTTTGGCCTATTCAAAAAACTAATTCAGGGCATACCCTGGGAAACACCCCTTAAAGGCAAGGGGGTCCAGGAGGGATGGACATGCTTCAAACAGGCAATTTTGAGCGCACAGGAACAGGCTATTCCAGTGTGCCGAAAGGCCAGCCGGAGGGGAAGACGGCTGGCTTGGTTAAATAGGGAGGTTCTGAAAGAAATCAGGGATAAAAAGAAAGTTTACAGACTGTGGAAAAAAGGGCTGGCTACTTAGGAAGAATTTACGAAGAGAGCTAGGTCATGCAGGAAAAAAATTAGGGAAAGAAAAGTGGAATTTGAAGTTAATTTGGCTAATTCAGTTAGGGATAACAAAAAGTCCTTTTATAAATACATTAATAGCAAAAGAAGGGGCAAGGAAAACCTCAATTCGCTGTTGGACTTGGAGGGAAATATAGTTAACAAAGATAAGGAGAAGGCTGAGGTACTTAACACCTACTTTGCCTCAGTTTTTAGCAGTAAGACAGGTGGCCCTCAGCACAACTGGCCTCTAGAGCAGATAGACAGAGACAGAGAGCTGAATAGCCCTCCTGTATTCCAGGAGGATGTAGTTAGCGACTTACTGAGCCAGCTGGATCCTAACAAGTCTATGGGACCAGACGGGATCCATCCCAGGGTGATGAGGGAGCTGGCAGAAGAGCTTGCCAAACCGCTCTTCATCATCTTCCAACAGTCCTGGCTCTCTGGGAAGGTCCCAGATGATTGGAGGTTGGCGAATGTCACCCCAATCCACAAAAAAGGCTGCAAGCAGGACCCTGGCAACTCCAGGCCTGTCAGCCTGACCTCGGTGCCTGGCAGGGTTATGGAGCAGATCATCCTCAGTGCAATCACACAGCACCTTCAGGATGGACAAGGGATCAGACCCAGCCAGCACGGGTTTAGGAGGGGCAGGTCCTGTCTGACCAACCTGATACCCTTTTATGATCAGGTGACCCGCCTGGTGGATGAGGGGAAGGCTTTGGATGTGCCTATCTGGACTTCAGCAAAGCCTTTGACACCGTCTCCCACAGCACACTCCTGGAAAAGCTGGTAGCCCATGGCTTGGACAAGTGTACCCTCTCCTGGATTAGGAGCTGGCTGGAGGGTTGGGCCCAGAGAGTGCTGGTGAATGGAGCTGCATCCAGCTGGCAGCCGGTCACCAGTGGTGTTTCCCAGGGGTCTGTGTTGGGTCCAGTCCTGTTTAACATCTTTATTGATGATTTAGATGAGGGGATTGAGTCCATCATCAGCAAATTTGCTGATGACACCAAACTGAGAGGGAGTGTCGACCTGCTGGAAGGCAGGAGGGCTCTGCAGAGGGATCTGGATAGACTTGAGAGATGGGCTGATTCCAATGGGATGAAGTTCAATAAAGCCAAGTACCGGGTCCTGCACTTTGGCCACAACAACCCCCTGCAGCGCTACAGGCTGGGCACAGAGTGGCTGGAAAGCAGCCAGGCAGAAAGGGACCTGGGGGTACTAATTGACAGGAAGCTCAACATGAGCCAACTGTGTGCCCAGGTGGCCAAGAAGGCCAATGGGATCTTGTCCTGTATCAAAAATAGCGTGGCCAGCAGGAGCAGGGAAGTGATCCTTCCCCTGGACTCTGCGTTGGTGAGGCCACACCTTGAGTATTGTGTTCAGTTCTGGGCCCCTCAGTTCAGAAAGGATATTGAGGTGCTGGAGCGGGTCCAGAGAAGAGCAACAAGGCTGGTGGAGGGACTGGAGCATAAGTCCTATGGGGAGAGGCTGAGGGAGCTGGGGTTGTTTAGCCTGGAGAAGAGGAGGCTCAGAGGTGACCTCATCACCGTCTATAACTACCTGAAGGGAAGTTCTAGCCAGGTGGGGGTTGGGCTCTTCTCTCAGGCACTCAGCAATAGGACAAGGGGGCACGGGCTTAAGCTCCGCCAGGGGAAATTTAAGTTGGATATCAGGAGAAAATTCTTTACAGAGAGAGTAATCAGGCATTGGAATGGGCTGCCCAGAGAGGTGGTGGATTCACCATCCCTGGAGATTTTTAAACGCAGATTGGACATGGCACTGAGTGCCATGATCTAGTAAATGGACTGGATTTGGACCAAGGGTTGGACTCGATGATCTCGGAGGTCTTTTCCAACCCAACTGATTCTATGATTCTATGATTCTATGATTCTATGATTCTATGAACTTAATCTGGCCAATTCTGTTAAGGACAACAAAAAGTGTTTTTATAAATACATCAATAGCAAAAGGAGGGGCAAGGAAAACCTCCATTCTTTGTCAGACACAGAGAGGAACATAGTCACTAAAGATGAGAATAAGACTGAGGTACTTAACACTTTGCCTCAGTTTTCAACAAGATGAAAGGTTGCCCTCAGGACAGCTGGATTCCTGGGCTGGTAGACAGCAACAGGGAGCTGAATAATGTGATGTCAATCTACAAGAAGGGCCGGAAGCAAGATCCAGGAAACTACAGGCCTGTCAGCCTGACCCCAGTGCCTGGTAAGGTTATGGAGCAGATCATCCTAAGTGCAATCACACAGCACCTACAGGATGGAAAAGGGATCAGACCCAGCCAGCGCAGGTTCAGGAAGGGCAGGTCCTGTCTGACCAACCTGATACCCTTTTATGATCAGGTGACCCGCCTGGTGGATGAGGGGAAGGCTTTGGATGTGCCTATCTGGACTTCAGCAAAGCCTTTGACACCGTCTCCCACAGCACACTCCTGGAAAAGCTGGCAGCCCACGGCTTGGACAGGGGCACTCTGTGCTGGGTTAGGAACTGGCTGGAGGGCCGGGCCCAGAGAGTGGTGGGGAACGGGGCTGCATCCAGTTGGGATCCAGTCAATGATGGTGTCTCCTAGGGATCAGTGTTGGGCCCAGTTCTCTTTAATATTTTTATTGATGATCTGGACAAGGGAATTGAGTCCACCATCAGAAAATTTGCAGATGACACCAAGTTGGGGGAGAGTGTCAGTCTGCTGGAGGGTAGGAAGGCTCTGCAGAGGGACCTGGACAAGCTGGATAAATGGGCTGAATCCAGTGGTATGATGTTTAACAAGACCAAATGCCGGGTCCTGCACTTTGGCCACTACAACCCCCTGCAGTGCTACAGGCTGGGGACAGAGTGGCTGGAGAGCAGCCAGACAGAGAGGGACCTGGGGGTTCTAATCAACAGGAAGCAGAAATGAGCCAGCAGTGTGCCCAGGTGACCAAGAAGGCCAATGGCACCCTGGCCTGGATCAGGAACAGTGTGGCCAGCAGGTCCAGGGAAGTGATTCTTGCCCTGTACTCAACGCTGATAAGGCCACACCTGGAGTGCTGTATCCGGTTCTGGGCTCCTCGGTTTAGGAAGGACACTGAGGTGCTGGAGACTGTCCAAAGAAGGGCAAAACAAGGCTAGTGAAGGGATTGGAGGCCCTATGAGGAGCAGCTGAGGGAACTCATGCTGTTTAGCCTGGAGACGAGAAGGCTCAGGGGAGACCTCCTCACTCTCTACAACTCCCTGAAAGGAGGTTGTAGCCAGGTGGGGGTTGGTCTCTTCTCCCAGGCAACCAGCAGTAGGACAAGAGGGCATGGTCTTAAGCTCTGCCAGATGAGGTCTAGGTTAGACATTAGGAAGAAATTCTTTACAGAGAGAGTAATCAGGCATTGGAATGGGCTGCCCAGGGAGGTGGTGGAATCACCATCCCTGGTGGTATTTAAGAAGAGTCTGGATGTGGCACTCAAATGCCATGGTTGAGTTGACATGGTGGTGTTGGGTCATGGGTTGGACTCGATGATCTCAGAGGTCTTTTTCAACCGGGTTTATTCTGTGATTCTGTGATTGTGTGAAACAAGGCAGATGATATTTCATTTCCCATTCATATAATTCATATTATTCCAACTGCACTACAGGTCTTACAAGAGTTCTGTTGACTGTTGATACTTCCTTAAGGTAAAAATAGAACATATTTTCTAATCTGTACTAAGTGTTGTTGTAAGGGGCAAAAAAGCAACTTTTGGAATAAATCACAAGAGCGTGCCAAGATGGGGCACTCCGTA